AAAAAAAAAAAAAAAAAAAAAAAAAAAAAAACTACTCAGTTAGAAAAACAGATAAATAGAAGACAATTCAACAGAAGTATGGGCACAGTTCTTAAACAAACCCTTCAAAAAAGAGGGTATACAAATTACAGTAAGCATAACCTCCTCAAAAATCAGGAAAATGTTCACTAACACTAAACTGCATATAAGGAACAAACACCAGAATGGCTAAAACTTTCAAACGTTCATGTCTAAATGTCTGAATTTGTGGCGCAACTAGGAAGCCTAGTACGTTGGTTTTGACAGTCTAAATTGATAAAACCACTTTAGGAAATTTTTCTCATTATTAACAAAGTTAGACATACATATATCCTAATTTGGTATTACCCCTTCCTAGCTCTATACCTATGAAAAACGTTCATAGTAATTCTACTGAAATAACCAAAAACTGGAAACAACTCAATGTTTATCAACACGAAATGAATACATAATTGTGGAATAGGCATACGACAGAATAATATTATTCATGAAAATAAACAAATACCACAAATAACAACATGGGTAATTTCACAAATATTTTGAACAGAAGAAGTCAGAGGGGAAATAATGTATATTTTATCATTTCATTTGTATGAGATTTTAAAATTAAACAAACTACCCTAATCTATGGGGATAAAAATCAGGTGAATATTTACCTTTCAGAAGTAGCAGTAACTGGGAGGGGCTTGATGGGTGCTTCTGAGGTGTCAATATAATTGACTTAACCTGATGAAGGTCACATGGGGTTCACTTTGTTAGAATTTAGGAGCAGGAAAACACAGTGGTGGTGAGCTCTTGTTGTACCACCAGGATGTCTCGTTTCCCTTTCAGCTCTGTCACTTAGGCTGTGTGCCTTTGGGAAAATTTTAACCCTCATTATTTGTATCCTAATAAATACTACTACTGGATTAATTACTCCACTTTCTCTCTTACCATGTTTTTCTTATTTACTGTGATATGATTAACATTTAGCATATTTCATGACCCATGGAAATTGCTCAATAAATAATTACTAATAAATAAAATAATTTACATACATCATGTTTCCATGGAGAATATTACTTAGTTTTCATTTACTGAAAACTGAACATGCTCCTTAGAAAATATGTCATGCAGACAAAAACATCTTGTTTTGGCCTTCCCATCACGATGCTGAAAGCTAGAATATGTATGAACACAGAGTTCTGTTCCTATGAATACCCAGACCACATAGTAGAAAGGCTCCCAGTTTATGTTGAGGGTCATTTTAGGCTTCTGAAAAGTTAAATCTTCTTCCTGAATATCTACATTCTCCTGAAGAACTAAATCTGTCTCTCTACTCATTATATTTGCTACTATAAAGTGATGACCAAATAAAAGAAACACCTATGGAATTTATTAAATGATCTCTTTGGCCCTTTTTTGGTAACCAGCCCAGTTTTCACACAGCAGTATTGCCCATGAATAAATATGATTTGGTCATCATTACAGGTACTAAATTCATACAAAGGTGAAAGCTTTATATACTTTTTATTATAAACTGCCAAATGTTTGGTTAATTTTTAAAAGCTTGCTCAACAGGACATTTGCATTTTCTGATTACAGTTAAGCTTTTGTTGCTATGGGTCTACAGGAAGGGATAGGGGAGAGTCTAATAGGAAACTCCTTGCGTGAAGCTGATCTCCTGATTCCCTGCCCTATCTGTATCCAGCATCCCTCCTCCCGCAGCAATTAGAACAGGAAGAAAAACTTCCCGGGAGGAGATGACTATTTTACCAGATACTTCATATCCTAAAGCTAGTGTCTGGGGGAATTCCCTGGCGACCCAGTGGTTAGAACTCAGTGCTTTCATTGCTAAGGGCACATGTTCAATCCCTGGCTGGGGAATTAAGATCCTGCAAGACGTGAGGCGCAGCCACATAAAATAAAGCCAGTGTCTGCAAATCATGCGTTTGCAGACTGAATGTGTCGTACCTAGTGGCCTCAAAAAGCCTCAAATAATCTTTAAAGTAATTCTGTGTTAGTACTGCCTTCAGAGAAGCAAATAAGATCCATCTTCTCCAGAAGAAGCCACCATCAACCTTCACCTAAAGGAAGTTCCACAGATAAAGTTTTGAAGAAACTGAGGTCACAGTTCAAGAAGATGGATGGGCATAAAGTTAAGGACAAGAAGGACAGGCGGATAAGAATGCTAAGAAGACGAAGGAAGAAAGGAAAGAATTCAGGGGACGAGGGAGAGGAGGAGAAAACAAGCACCACTAGCAAAACCGGCTGAAACAACAGACGGCAGAATGACAATCCCTAAAACTCCATATATTGGAATCATCAGACATAGATATAATGTATTTAAAAAATACAAAAGGGTAATCAAAAACACGATTAAAGGAAAAGAAAGTTTTTAGGTGACGGAGTAAGTTTTTTTTTGCTTTTGTTTTTGTTGTTTTCATTTTTTGGCGATATGCGGGCCTCTCACTGTTGTGGCCTCTCCTGTTGCGGAGCACAGGCTCCGGACGCGCACAGGCTCAGCGGCCACAGCTCACGGGCCCAGCCGCTCCGCAGCATGTGGGATCTTCCCAGACCAGGGCACGAACCCGTGTCCCCTGCAATGGCAGGCGGACTCTCAACCACTGTGCCACCAGGGAAGCCCCTGAGTAAGCTTTTAAAAGGAACAAATAAAACTTTTAGACATATAAAATATAATTGACCTTAAAACTCAGTGGTTGGCTTTAAAATAACAAAAGGTATATATAATTAAAGAGAACCAGAAGGAAGTTCTTAAGACTGTTTTCAAATCCATCACAGAGTCAAAAAGATGAATAAGAGTGTAAGTTTCTGTTTTTTAAATATTTCATAAGACTTCAAGCAACTTTATGAATAAGCTTTGCTGTTTTAGTCTACTGAACCGAAATCATTTCCCAAGTCCCCTACTTAAGGTGTCCTTAAGATATTCTTATATGTGTGTTTGTGTAAAAATGTAAATATATATTTATAACATACAAACAACCTTATATATTATTTATATAAAGAAACATTGCAATTTACTGTCAGAGAAAGCAACTAATACTAAATAATTCAAAATAACAAAATTACTAATTAAATGAAGATGACAAAATCCACCACAAATTTCGACAGAATGGTACTCACAGTAAGAACAGCCATAGACCTCAATTCTGAGCCCAATGCGGCCTTCTCCGTTCCAATCCAGAGGCACGATGCGCACATAGCGGGCGATTACTGGATGCTGTAAATCATGCCGAACCACGCTATCGGAGTTGACATTCCCAGGAAACGCCTGAAAAATAAACGGGATTCAAAAATTAGGGGAAAATACTTTAGAAACAACCATGTTCTCTATGTGCTGCAATAAACGTAAGTTTTCTTATCCAATGGAGGGATTTCATATTCTCTAAACCATAAACAATTTGAAAAAAGCTTCTATATGTTCTTTATTTGAAAACACGTACAATTTTAAATGGGAACTAGGCCAAAGTTTCCATGGGTCCTTTCATACGTGGAAATGCACACATATATTAAAAGAATGAAACACTGTGGCACGCGCCGTAGTATCCAGTAAACATTTAAATTACGAGTTCTATTATTTCACATTTAAACTATACAATAAGCAATTTTTCACAGAATCCAACTGTATTTCTTGCTTTTTAAAAATCTCCTCTATGTTACCTTCCCATACCATCATTACAAATTTGAAAATTTTTTCAACATAAGCTCGGTAAAAAGAGCAATTGAATATGTCGTGCAGAGGCTTGGGACTTCTACCTTTTATTAGCATAAATATATATGAGTGGATCAGAAACATGTTTATTTCATTTTTCTTATTTATAGAAGATTCTGTCAAGAATCATTTGCCATGAATCTTTTTTTTATGTTGAAAGTTCATATTGTCTATATTTTTTTCAGCAGAGAACAAATGGATTTTCTTTGGGCATGGCTATCATTCATCAGCAAACATTTATAAAACATTTACTGTATAATAAGTATAAAGCAAGATAATACGGGGGGCACAGGGATAGGGAAAGTCATAGATGCCACACTCAAAAAGAATCTAATAATAAGAATTTAATAATAGGAAAAATGTCAGTATAAAATTACAATTTAAAGCAAGGACGAATTAAATCAAGAGATCATGATGTTTTAGAATATGTCAAATAAATGAGAAATAAATGAGAAGTATATGTGTTTACTTTTTTAAACATGAGCCACTTAATTTCATATATACATTCTAGCTGTCCCTACCTTAGATAACTTTAGTTTTTGGAAAGCTATATTCTACATGAGATCCTCTTTTATATTTATTTAAATAATCTCCTAAACATTGAAATAAAAATTTTAAAAAGAACACTGAACTGTTTTAGTCACGAAAAGATACAACATAAACACTATATTACATTGCTAATCTGTTATATTCTTGACCTAAGGCTTTGAATTTGCTTCTATATAAAATCAGGAGTTTCATCTTTTTGAAATACCTCTTTTATAACAACTTTTAAGAGTTATAAAATTAATAAGAGGCAAGTAAAGAGATGCTTTTAATAAAAAAGTACATACATAGCAGCTTTGAAACGGAAGGCTCTGGTTTAACTGCACACAAATATCACAAAGGTAAATTTGTGGTATAAAGTTGGTTAGCGCTCATTCTCCAGTCATACTCCTGGCCTCCAAAATACAAAATGTATAGTGTAAGACCCAGTAATACAGGGAGCATACTGAAATATTTCCTCAAGATTTAAACTATTTTATAGAACATAAGATGGTTCCAACAATCTGCATCGTGGGTAATAGTCTAAAACACGTACAATTTCATGCTTTGGAAACTGGGATCCTCTTTAGTAATGATTTTTGTTGTGTTCTCCCTGGTTTTCCTCAAGCTACATACTACCACTGCCTTTTCAAAATAGCCACACCCACTTCAATCCTTCATTGGACAAAACCATTTGAGCTTCAGGTCTTAAATTTCATCACTTAAATAGACATCTTCTTTGCATCCTGTTGATAACATTTGATTAAGAAAAATAGTAAAAAGTTTTTTTTTTTCTTTTTAGGTATTTTTCTAACCAGCTTTTAGTTTTACAAAGAAGCCACAAATCTAACTATTTTATTAAACCATGGCTGAATTTTAATATCACTATTAGTTGTTCTGTCTTCAAAAGCAATACCATTGAGAATCCCTGAATAAAATCACCTGAATTAAATCCCTGATGGCAGATAGGTTAATCTAAATATTATGTGTTTTTTTTAAAAATTATTTATTTAATTTATTTATTTTTGGCTGTGTTGGGTCTTCGTTGCTGCGCGGGCTTTCTCTAGTTGCAGTGAGCGGGGGCTACTCTTTGTTGCAGTGTGTGGGCTTCTCATTGCGGTGGCTTCTCTTGTTGTGGAGCACGGGCTCTAGGCGCACGGGTTTCAGTAGTTGTGGCATGCGGGCTCAGTAGTTGTGGCTCGCGGGCTCTAGAGCGCAGGCTCAGTAGTTGTGGTGCACAGCTTACCTGCTCCATGGCATGTGGGATCCTCCCGGACCAGGGCTCGAACGCGTGTCCTCCGCATTGGCAGGTGGATTCTTAACCACTGTGTCACCAGGGAAGCCCTAAATATTATCTTAAATAATATTCAACAAAAGCCACCAAACAATTTTAACTTAAGGATCAACTATACGCTTAACATGGTGCTAGGTGGTATATGAATATTAACAACGACAAAGACAGCAAGTAACTTTCTTGGAACCCTGCTTCTGAGACATTTGTAGCCTTGTGAGGCCTGAAAGAAGAAAAATACTCCTCTGCGTTTCTCCTCTACTCCCAGTGCTTTATTTCTGACACCAGAGGTAGGGGTTTTCCCACACGTCACACAATTCTTTATGGACACCAGCTGGCGTCCCATAATTTAACTTAATTCTACCTGGAGATAGATTCAGATCCCACAGGTTAAGGGCTCAGTCCCACAAGATGACCCCCACTTCAGATGCCAATCTCAAGTCCAGTTTGTCACCTATGCTTCTGACAGACCATACGACAGATGTTCCTACGACCACCTCCTTAGATTCAATCACTTGCTGCAGAGCTCACAGGACTCAGGAAAACAGTTTACCTACTAGATTACTGGTTTATTATGAAGGATGTAACTCAGGAACAGCCAGATGGAAGGGGTGCATAGAGCAAGGTGGCTGCGAAGGGGTGCCGAGCCCTCTCCGCACGTACCACCCTCCCGGCACCTACACTTACCAAGCTTTCTGAACTCCTGAACTTCTGGGTTTGTATGGTGGCTGCAGTATGCAGGCATGATGATTAAATCATTGGCCACTGGTGACTGAACTCAATCTCCTGCCCCTCTCTCCTTCCCAGAGGTCAGGACGAGGCTGCAAATTCCAACTCTCTAATCACACAGTTGGTTCCCCTGCTAACCAGCCCCATCTCACAGTTACCTAGGGGCTTTCCAAAAATCACCTCATTGACGTGAACTCAGGTGTGGTTGAAAGGAACTTGTTATTCATAACAAAAGACACCCATTTCAGCTTTATTGCACTTATCACTTAGGAAGTCCCAAGGGTTTTAGAAGCTGTGTGACAGAAAACATGGATCAAGACAGAAAAAATATATTTCTTTTTATAAATCATGATGTCACAGGCCTTACTGCAAAAGGCAGCATCAAAGGGAGGACAGAAGTGCGTGGCATAACTAGTAATTTCCATAGTACTTGGAATCCTATGAAAACTATGTAATCAGGAAAACTACAGAGATAGACCTCAGCTTGGTCGGAGGGCAGAATGGTGTTCAGGAGGTAGAAAGGGAGTAGGACACAGGAGAGAACAAGAAAAGGCTGGCATAAAGAAGGAGCTCAGACCTAGGGCTAGAGATACCCAGAGTCAAGTTGTAATTGTGCTGAAATTTTGTTCTTTAGGGGTAACTTCTCCAGACCTCAGTTCTCTTCATTCCTTCTCCCTGTGTCTGTCCCCCTAAAAGGATTTGACTAGCTTATCTGGAAAATCTACTTTAGAACTAAAATTGTGGACTCTGAAAACATGAACTAAGGTATATTCAGGAATAAGTAATAAGGACATAAGTCTGATTGGAAGGAAGTGTTTATATTGGAAAATCATGAATGTTTTAACAAGTTCTGTCTGATTATGGACGAAAGAACCTAGCATGCATTTCTATTTTTTAGATGACAGAATGAGAGCCATATTCAGGAGATCCTAGGTGGTGGGAGATCATCGTGGGGGCAGAAAGATTAGCAACAAACAGTTAAGAGTCGATGCCCCATGGTGGTAAAGGGAAAGTAAGAAAATAAAAGAGATATATTTCAAAAGAAGAAGTAACAATATTTTGAGAGAAGGGAGTAAGAGAAAAGATACAGAGCAACCTATTCCCAGGTATTAACATATTGGCATTGGTGACAGAAAGAGGGAAGGGGGATAAGACAGTAGACATCCATTCTTTCCTTCCCCAGCAAACTCTGCTCTTTAAGTAACAGCAACCAGATTTTCTTTAAAATTTCTTTAAACATTACCCAGACTTCACTCTTAATCCACCTGATCCAGGAGAGGCAGACGCCTCTCTCTGACACCAGGAGTGGGCACCTAACTCAATGAGGCACAATTTTAGCACTTCTGCTGGAATAATTCATTCATATATTCACTCACTGATCCATCCACTTATTCATTCGCTCAGGAAATATCTGAGAGTCTTTTATGCACCAGATACTGTTCAAATCACTGGGGAGACAGGGGTGAACAATACAGAGTTTCAGTTCACATTTATATTATTAAAGTACATAGTATGGCAGTACAAAGTGGAGCAGATAATAAATAAAATACAATGAATATATTTACAATAGCTAGGACATGGAAGCAACCTAAATGTCCATTGACAGAGGAATGGATAAAGAAGATGTGGTACATATATACAATGGACTATTACTCAGCCAGAAAAAAGAATGAAATAATGCCATGTGCAGCAACATGGGCGGACCTAGAGATTGTCATACTGAGCAAGCAAGTCAGACAGAGAAAGAAAAATATCATATACCACTTATATGTGGGATCTAAAAAAAATGTACAAATGAACTTATTTACAAAACAGAAATAGAGTCACAGATGTAGGAAAGAAACTTACAGTTACCAGGGAGGCAAGGGGGGAGGGATAAATTGGGAGATTGGGATTGACATATACACACTACTATATAAAAAATAGATAACTGATAAGGACCTACTGTATAGCACAGGGAACTCTTCTCAACACTCTGTAATGACCTATATGAGAAAAGGATCTAAAAAAGAGT